AGATCCTGAGAGGAGAATGGAGGAGAAGGGATTGCGGCATGGCCATCCCCCCTGGGGGGTGATTTCTCGCTTTCTGTCTCTGTCTTTCTCTTTCTTTCTGGCAAGTGCATACGCCCTATAGCAAAAACCTCTCCAAAAAAAAAGAAAAAGAAAAAAGAAAACAGGCTGTGTGTGTGTGTGTGTGTGTGTGTGTGTGTGTGTACCTCAAATCCTGACAAGATGGGGAAATAGAGGGTTGCAGCATGCCACGTCCCACTAGGGGCTTATTCTCTCTCTGGTGAGTTCATGTTCCTTCTATCAATAAAATAGAAATGATTAAAGTGATGAACCCAGCCTGGGTTATATTTATCTTTGTACCTAAGCAACCATAAATATAATTCATTTTAAATTATTATTTTATGTGACTTATTACCTGTTAATGATAACATGTATAGTATTCTCAACTGGACTGGTCTGAGAAGTATTTCATGTTGGGTAAATTTTCTTTACAAGCCAAACGATGTACAGCAATCAGATGTTTTTTAAATAAGAGTAATAAAATTATTATTTTCTGGATACAGGTGTTCACAGAAACAAAAGAGCCTAGAGCCCTTGAGTCGTATTGTGGCCCTGGGTTAGTGGGGCAGTTGGGCTGTGGTTCCCAGCTGACCCAGAGGTCAGTGCTCAGAGATTTACCTGGACAGTCCTTGTGGAGGTTGGGGAGAGCCCGAATCACAGGCTCTTTGAGATCCCAATGATAATGATGACACTCCACCCACATTAGGGCACTTTGTCTTTTGATTAACCCATGAAATTGGATACCATAGATGCATCATGCTCTTTCCAGATTAGAAAATTTTAAAAATTATTGCTTAAGGTCACCCAGCTAGGATTCAAGGTTAGGTCATTCTGACCTGAGTCCATTTATTTTAACACCATCACACAGAAGCAATTGACCTGTGAATTTTAAGGCCCTGACTGTGAATGAGAGAGAGAAACTAACCTCTCATCCAGTATTCATCAGGGTCCCTGGATGCCAGGCATGAAGGAATGACTATGACAAGGCCCCTTGACCTCTAAGGGCTCCTGACCTAGCGGGGTGATAATAAGCAGATTCTCCACACTGGTAATTCATGGGTGCCCTTGGCTCTGGGTGAGAAGGGAAGAGAAAGCAGGTCAGAGGCTTGAACTGGAGGCTGAAAATTAGTGTCTGGCAATTTCGATTTTCTCTTCTTTCAGGCAACCTTTGATGGAATCCTCCTTTTTAAAGATGAGCCAACTGAGGCTCAGAGTGATCCATACCTCCGTCATGGTCACACAGCATGTAAAATGTGGAGTCAGGTGTTGGCCCCATGCAGCGAGCTGCAGCAGGCACTCAGGGTGCGATTGGAGTGACAGGTGGGATTTTAAGAGACTAAGGTGTGGAAGATTGCACTTGAGCCAGAAACCATGCTTGGGTGGACAGTTTTGTTCAGAGCAGCAGGTAGTTCAGTGTGGCTGGAACGAGGCAGGCATTTTTCAGAGTAGAGCCAGATAAAAAGGCTTTGGAGGATTTGATGAGATGCAAAGACAAAGGCTGACCTTCTTTCTAAAGGGAGAGTAATCACCAGCCTGGGTTTCAGGAAGATCCCTATGGCAGCAGGCTGGAAAATGGATCAGCAGTGGGGAGAGAATGGAGGCCACCAGGGCCTCTTCGAAAAGTCTGAGTTCCAGGAGCCAGAAAACAAACAAACAAAACAAAACAAAACTCATACTCCCAGCATCAGAAAGTCAGGGTGCGGGAGGGCTCTGGCAGACCTTAACGTTAGACACAGCATTCCAAGCTGCTTTGGATGTATCAGTGCTGTCTGTACCACTGAAATACTCTTGTAAAATACTTAGCTTGTATAGCTTTTGTGAGGCTGGAATTCATAGCACAGAGAATGTCACAATGTGAAGTGTGTTGTGATATTTTATTTGCTGTGTATGCGCTTCTACAACCTGCAGGACAAGGTTCAAGGTTAATTGACAAAGTCTTTTAGGAGCAAGGGTTTGTCTCTGTAGCTTTTGGACACAAATTGATTGGTAGTATCACAATTCCAGAGAGCCTGTTGAGGAGAAGCAAAGCTGTCAAAGGTCAGGCTAGTTGGCAAAGCCAACATCTGCATGCTCTGATCTATCAAAGCAGCACATCCCAGGGGCCAGGGGCAGCCTTATCTGCAGACCACCCACCTGGGAGCTTTATTTAAGCAGCACCTCAGCTCCAGGCTTGCTCCATGCAGAGATAAGGAAAATATCAACCAGCTTCCAAGAGCAGAGGATATCTGTGGGAGAAACCTACAACAAACAATTAGCTTTAATGTTAGGTAAGTGCTCTAATCAAGGAAAAGGGGCTTAAGCACTCTAGGGAGTAGGGAACAGCAGGGAAGCAATTAATTTCGCCTGGGGCTGTGGAGAGACCTACCTAGATAACAGCGATGTCTTAGTTACTGGGAAAAGAATGCTGGAGAAATGTGAGCATTTTCTGCATTTTCTCAATTTGCAAGAGGGTTGCTACACTCTTAGAGGCAAGTCTCAGGGGGAGGGCTTCCAGATTAAGTCTCAGATGTCCTTGAGTGTAAGGGTTACACAAAGCAGACACTCCTCCCTCTACTCGCTTCATCTCACCCTGCGCATGATTCTACCTCCTTCAGAATCAGGGAGAGTCAAGAGGCATAGCTGTCTCCCCTTGAAGGAGAGGAAGTTGAGGCATTGATTTGAGAACTGAGTTCAAAAGGAATTTCTCTACAAATGGGTCAGGGTTCCTCAGTAGCAATTCTCTGGGGGGCAAGGTGCTTCCT